ACACACACACACACACACACACACACACACACACACACACACACACACGCATGCATGCACACACACCACAGCAGAGACACTAAGCAGGGACGGTTAGGGACAATACTGGGTTCGCCATGTCAGAGAGGAAGAAAATCTGCTTAGGTGGCCCAAGGTGGAAAGGATTCAAATCACAGTGAGCAAGAAGTGTTGGAACACGGTTCTTTCCCCAATCCCAAGAGGAAGCCACACAGCCGTAGGAATCCTTTCTGGGCTTCATCCTTCTGCAGTGGCAGGGAAGCATTTATTTTGCAGCCCTACAATCTTCATGAGGCATCTGTTTTACCCTTAAAGATGTCGTAGGACGTTGGATATCCTCGGCTGGTTGTATTTGCAGCTGGTGGAGTGTGAGGCCTCAGATTCCATCCCCACACCCACACTGCCAAAAGATCCCCCACACCACCACCCCACTAAATCCCACCCAACCACCACCACCCCCCAAAACCTGTTTTCAGTGATCCAGAAGATAGCAAGAGGTGTGTGGCCAGACCCAGAAACCGCGGACCCCAAGATAGCAGATCAGCGCAGGCCTCTGTGCTCTGGTCCTAGTGCCTGGCCAACCGACCTTGACAAAGTGAACAGAAATGAGTCTGGGCTGTCCCAGTCGGTGGGACTTCTGTCCTGAGGCTTGAGAGCCAGGCCTGGCTCACTCAAGGCTCAGCTCATCCCCTGCTAGCCAAGTTGGCCGTCCAGTCTCAGTGTTATTGTTTGACAGATAAAGGGCATAGCTCTGCTGGAGATATCACATGGCCAAATAAATAGGCCTTTGTGACTCCCATCACCACCCCACCACTCCAAGCAGAGACATCATAAGCAGGAATGGACTTTGCTATGGTCACTGAGATACATGTCATGTAAGGAGTTAGGGCAGGATTTCTATTCTAATCACCTAGCAAGTCAGAGATGGAAAAAAGGAAAGACAGGGATATTCCATGCTCACAGACATGTCAGGCATCCTTGTCACTGGGGACAGGCTGCACTGTCCTGTCAGGTACCCTTGTCATTAACAACCAGGGACAGCCTTTACTGTCTTGGCTGGGACCCTTGTCATTGAACCTTCCGCAAGGTTTATCTGGATTCTTTTTTTTTTTTTTTTGAGACTCTGTGTAGTTTTGGTGCCTGTCCTGGATCTCACTCTGTACACCAGGCTGGCCTGGAACTCACAGAGCTCCACCTGGCTCTGCCTCCCGAGTGCTGGGATTAAAGGCATGCGTCACCACCGCCTGACCCATTTGTCTGGATTCTTAAGGTGATAAACACAGGAGGCTGCAGGCACGTGGCTGGCCCCAAAGAGAGTAACACTATGGAACAAAGATCACATCCTTCACCCTAACACTTGAAAGAGCATGAGCCATGCCTTGCCTCTTCTTAGTTCTTGTAGCTACCCAAGAACCCATGTGAAAAAAACATAATTTAAACCCAGCACTTTGCATGGTGTACGCATGTGTGGAACCACAGCCCTAAGTGCCTGTTGAAGACCTCAGAAGAAACCATCCATGGGATAGGTCTGTCACTCACCAAGAAGAACACAGGCTAAGGAGTCAGTGACTAACAGTCAGGGGTCAGGGGTCAGAGGACATGTTCATCTGGCCCTTAATTCTCTTTTCTTGTTAAAATACCAGCAATTAGGGTCTGGAGAGAGGGCTCAGTGGTTCAGAACAGTTGTTGTTCTTGCAGAGGACCTGGGTTCATTTTCCAGCACCCACATGGCAGCTCACCACCACCTGTAACTCCAGTTCCAGATGGTCTGTCGCCCTCTTCAGGTCTCCACATACACATGGTGCACATGCATGCATATAAAATCGTAGCTGGAGTTTTCGCTCCGGGTCCCGCCAAGCTCCGGCAGTCCCTTAACCCACTTATAAAATAAACATACAGACGCTTATGTTACTTAAACTGCTTGGCCGTTAGTTCAGGCCTATCAAAGTCTAGCTCTTACTCTTATATTTAGCTCATTTCAATGAATCTATACTTTGCCACGTGACTCGTGGCTTACTGGTACCTTACATCTTCCTTGTCCTGGCGGTGGCTCCAGGTAGTCTCCTCCTTCCCTTCCTGTTCCCTTAATTCTCCTCTTTGTTAGTCCCGCCTATACTTCCTGTCTGGCTACTGGCCAATCAGTGTTTTATTTATTAACATATTTGCCATACAGAACATCCCACAGCATAAAATAAAAGATAAAAATTTAAAAAACATTAGCAATTAGTATTTTAGAAACCTACTCTATTCCAAAAGCATCTATTTTTCTTTCCTAGAGGTAATGAAGTCTTTATATCATATTTTCCTGGGTCTATTTTTAATAGACAGTGGAGCCTCAACTAAGTAAAATATGGTGGCTATTAATAATCAGATTTCTAAAACTAATTTTAAGTAAGCCATGTTCTGCATGAGTTAGGTTCCTTAGCCCCCTGTCTAATGACACCAGGTTCCTTAGTTCACTCTCTGTTTCCAAAGACATTTAATTGTGCTTAATTTTTTTTTCCTCAGGAATTTTTGGGCTTTAGGTTAATCTTACTGACCTGACCCATTGAATGCAAGGCTTGGGCCAGTGGGGAGGGTGTCACCTTTTTGAAAATGAATGGTGTCACCCATCTGAGTGTAACGGAGTCGATCTTACTAATCACTGTGGACTCTCTCTCATTGTTTCCCATTCTCCTGGTGGTTTGAGGGGGGGGGGGTGACAGCATATCCTGCATCCACAGGACATGTTGAAAATTGAACACTAGCTGGACAAAGTCTAGTCCGTCAAAAGAGAGAGTCCATCCCTGCCAAGAAAACGTTGCACATTGTAGATAGTATCAGACATTTAGGTGAGATGTATGACACATGATGTGGATAAGCTGTTCCTGAGCAAAGGCTCTCCTGTGTATCCCGGAGGATGTAATGGTGTGGTCCAGGGGAAACTGGCCATAGGCCTCCATCCTTAGGATCACACTCAACTCATGGCCACAGAGGCTTGCTAGCTACAGAAGTACCACATAACACAACCCAGAAAAGCACAAAGAACAGACACACACCAAATGCTGATTTAGGCCACATCCGGAAGTTCCCTTCCCTGTGCTGTTTCTATAGGTGAAACTTCTCCAACCAGGCGGCATGATGGGAGCTAAGCGCCCCTTGCATACCCCAGCTAGGGGTATCCCAGGTGGGGCCTCACAGCTGCCCCTGGTTCCACACATCATCCTGTGAGAGTGAGTGTGGGAGTTCTCACGCCTGCCTGCTAAAACCACAATGAAGAAATTAACAGGTCAGGCTGTAGAGGATTTTGTCCAAGCACAAATTAAAGGAAACTTTGTTTTATTGTAGTTTATGTTTTTAGAGTTAACTGAATATTATTTATAGATACATACATACATACACATCATGTTTTTATTAAGGTTTATCTTTATGTGTATTAGTGTTCATCTGCATGTATGTCTGTGCTCGGTGTACATGCGGTGCCTGTGGAGGCCAGAAGAGGGCGCCAGATCCCCTGGAACTGGAGTTAACAGGTTGTTGGGAAGCCAGGTCTTCTGCAAAAGCAGCCAGTGTTCTTAACCTCTGAGCCAACTCCCCAGCCCTGGAGGCATGTTTACAATACATGAACAAGAAAGGGACAGAGGCCAGGACAAGAAGGCGGCAGTACAAATGGTTTGTACCCTAAGGTCCAAATGGCTTCAGAGAGACAGTATGGTGTGGGGTTTCTCAATTTCACCTCATTTTAAAACCTGGAATATTTTACTTCTTTTCCCCTTAGACTTTCTGACACGGGACAGGTAAACATCACGTATATTTGGGGGTCTGGGAAATGGCGACTGTGGAACCATGGGGTGATGACCAAGTGTGAGGACCCCTTCCTAGTGCAGGTGTGCATCTTTAAATCATCATTATTTGGTGGGTAAAGAAGCCACCTCTTTGGTGTTCTCTGTCCACCTATGTCATCCCCCAAGTCACAGGCTAGAGATAGTTGTCGGGTCAGGTTGATCTCCCAAGCCGCTCTTCCTCCTGCCAATTCCAGTTTCTGACCAACTCACAGGATCGGGACGTTACCTGGCTTCAGACTATTGCAGCAGTTCTCAGCTTCAGTTCCCTGTGGGGGTGTCGAATGACCCTTTCATGGGGTCACATATCAGATATTTACATTATGATTCATAACAGTAACAAAATTACAGTTATGAAGTAGCAATGAAATAATATCATGGTTGGAGATCACCACAACATGAGGAACTGTATTAAAGGGTCACAGCATTAGGAAGGTTGAGAACCACTGTTCTATTATCTCCCTCTCTATGAAATGCACGCCCATGTACATGTGTGTGCAAGTGTGCACAATTGGCCTCTGGATTTCAGGTTCTGCATTCTCAGATTTGACCAACTATACAGAGAAAGTATCTGAAGAATACTTTCACCTGTCCCAAGCATACACAGACTTTTCTTTCTTTATTACAACTCCCTAAACTACGGAACAGCCAAGCATTGACACTGTACTGGAAATACCCTTCAGCCAATTAAAGTGTCCAAGGTGGGTGAAGGTTGGGGGGATGGCTAGAGAGGTGGCTCAGTAGTTAAGAGCATGTATTACTCTTCCAGTGGACGTCTGACCCCAGAAACCACATGAGGAGACTCACAACCATCTGTAACTCCAGCTCCTGGAGGACCCAGCTCCTCCAGCCTCTGAGGCACCTGCACTCACATGCACATACCTATACATAATTAAAAATAAATCCTCTTTAAAAAGTGTCTGAGTGGGGATTGCAAAAAGTGCTATTTGCCATCATTTTAAGGGGGCGGGTCTGCATGAGGGGAGTCTGCAATGAGCATCGTGCGGGTATAGCTAGACAACCATACACCTCATGATATCAAGTCACACACACACACACACACACACACACACACTCACACTCACACTCACACTCACACACACATTAGGATTTAAAAAAAAATCACCATTAGATAGTGAAAAAGCTTTAGTTCCCTTCCATGGAGGTTGTTTCTGCTTCTGGTTAAACATTCAGAGCTGGGAGAATATCCCTGTTAGCCATATTGAACTCTGAGGTGCAAGTGAGCGGTAAATAAACGTAGAGTTAGCCTTGTGTTCTGCTGAGGACCCAGGAAGCATCTCCCGAGGATCACATCCACACTCAGAGGGGACCAAACACCTATGACAGAGCCACTGACTCAAGGCTTCTTGCTATCACGGCTTCCGCTCACAGTGTGGCTTAGTTTGGAGTGAGGCCCTGTTCTGAAGCTATCACCTGCTTCGGCACTCCACCTCTGGGGGATCTCTGGCCCCATGGTGAGCCCAAACAGACAAAGATGAGCACCCAGGGCTGTCCTTTCCACAGATGCACCCCTGAGCTGTTCCACAGGGTGCCGCATGACCCCTGTGCTCCGTCCCCTGCATGCTCTAGATGAATACACCGGGCGAGACCGCCTTTCCCCGGACTTCTATGATGAGTCAGAAACCGACCCTGGTGCTGAGGAGCTCCCGGCCCGCATCTTTGTGGCACTGTTTGACTATGACCCACTTACCATGTCCCCAAACCCTGACGCTGCGGAAGAGGAGCTTCCCTTCAAAGAAGGACAGATCATCAAGGTAGTGATGGCTGCGGTGTCATGGGTGGGGGCAGAGACTGGCGGGGGGTGGGGGTGACGGGAAGTAGTAGCCCTTTAGCCTCAAGGGCTGTTGGAGGAGATGGCTCAGGGCTATGAAAGCCTTGAATATAGGACAGGCCTCTACTCCACCTAGGAAAAGGGCCACTGCCTTCACCTGTCTGCCTGAGGGGATTGTGCACATACCTATGCACACATACCTGCATGCCTGAGTGTGTCCCGGGTACTACGCGTGCAATCAGAGCCTATGCTTACAGACCCTGAACTTGAAAAACACAGGTTTCCATGTCTGACCAATAAAGGGGAGGGGAGAGAAGACAGGAGCCGTGGTCACGGGGCCAGTGGACCTGTGACTGATGTAGGTGAAGGGTGGGCTCTGAAAAGCGTGTTCTGAGCGGCTTTGACTTTAGGTGACTCGGCTATTGGTGGAGTTGATGTATGGCTGAGCCAGCCTATCAAAATGCTTTACTTACTTCCCCGCCCCCCTCACCACTACCACCACCACCCTAACACCCCACACACACCAATTCCCCCAACTCCTCCCCCCCCTCCCCCCCCCATGGCTCCAGGTATATGGAGACAAAGACGCAGATGGCTTCTACCGTGGGGAGACCTGCGCCCGGCTTGGCCTCATTCCCTGTAACATGGTCTCCGAGATCCACGCGGATGACGAAGAGATGATGGACCAGCTGCTGAGACAAGGCTTCCTCCCTCTGAACACACCCGTGGAGAAAATAGGTGAGTGCAGTCCCTCAGGGTCTACTGTGCTTACACTTTTTACAACAGTCCGTGGCGTGGGGGTCGGGGAGACGGGGAGTTGCAGCCCCCAGAAACACAGACCGCACAGCACCTCTGAGTGCCCAGTTCTCGGGAGGATTTCCTGATCTTTCTTGTCTGGCAAAACTCACTCTGCAAGCCAGTACTGCAATTTCCCTGCACGCTTTAGGAGTATTCACACATCCTCGTGTGTGTGTGTGTGTGTGTGTGTGTGTGTGTGTGTGTGTGTGTGTGTGTGATGGGAGAAGTTCAGCTAAAAGTCTTTGCTTTGGGGAGGAAAGGGTTTATTTCACCTTATAGTCCGCAGTCCTGCATTGAGGGAAGTTATGGCGGGACCGGAGGCACAGAGCATGGTGGACCGTAGCGTATTGGATGGCTCAGCCAGGTTTCTTTACAACTTACTACCCAGGGGTGTCACCGCCCGCAGAGGGCTGTTCCCCACCCCTACTTTTAATCATCAATCAAAACAGATGCCCCCACAGACTTACTCACAGGCCAGTCTGACGGAGGCAAGTCCTCAGCTGAGGTTCCCTCTCCCCGGTGTACAGTGACGTTAATAAAAGGCCAGAGGTCTCTCTGGAGAAGGCTGGGAGGAGGGCTGACTGTAGAGTTGGTCAGGGTCATAACATGGCTGTGCCTCGTGGGACCTGCCTTCCCTTTAAGGGGCTTTGGATCAGTCATTAGCTCAAGTCTGGACACCGGTGGATGGGCTGTGATGCTTTGTTAGTGTGACCCAAGATAGCCTTTCTTCCATTTGAGTTTCTCTGCTTATACAGACCAAACAGAAACTGGGCGGGCTTATCTACTTCGTTCCAAGAAACACCGTGATTAATTAGCCTGTCCCCAAAGTCAGGCTATTGTGGGCATTGTTTTGCCTGTGCTGTCCATTATGGTAACTGTGCCTTTGGTGATTCATGCTGCCACCTGGCCATGCTACTCTGGGTGACTCGAAGACACACACACACACACACACACACCCCAACATATGTGATGTCCCACCAGAACTGCACCCCTGAAGCTCCTGCACACCTAGCAGGTGGCTCCACCGAGAGTCTTCGTCTCTAGCACTTTTTCACAGCTTTAGAAGCTTGGGGAGGGGCCTTGTGAGTCCTGTAAACTTCCAAGTATTCTGAGCCTTGTATGTTTCCTTAGCTTTGTGAGTTTTAAGAGCTTCCATCTTCCCTCCAGGAAGGAAGGTTTCAATTCAAGGGATAGCTGTGGCTTTTTTCCCAGAGCAATGGTCAGAACCTCATGGTGCCTACTAGGCTTTCCCAAGCCATATTCACCTGGTGCCTCCGACCACTTGGACTCATCTGGGGAGGAGGTCCCCTGCCTCATAGAGCCCCCACGGCATGGTAGACACAAGGGAGAATGTCACTGTGAAGTGAACAGTCTAGAAAAAACATTAAGCACTAGAGGCTGAGACACTTTTCTCAAGTGAGGGACATTAGCAGGTTACGCATACCCTTTTGGGCACTGAGGGGAGTCGCCACTGATTTGGCGATCTTCATGACTAGATCTTACGGTTTTGCAGAGAGAAGCAGAAGAAGTGGCCGGGGTCACTCTGTGCCCACGCGAAGAATGGTGGCACTCTACGACTATGACCCGAGGGAAAGCTCCCCCAACGTGGACGTTGAGGTACCAGCCCAGAGTCCTTTCATGCTGTACTGATCTGGAACGGCTACCAATGCCTTCCTGGCTAAGCTTCTCCTGGGTACCATACTGAGGCCATGCGCCTGTAGGTCTCACTCTTCTCAGCATGGTAGAGAGGGAGGCCCAGGGACAAGCCTCATCAGAGATGGCAGTCACATTCTCTGGCTCACAGCCAGCCACAGCGAAACACGGGTCCATGTTTTCAGTTAACCTGTGGTCAGCCAAGGTCCAAGGATGCCCGTGGGAACTGTAGAAACCAATGAGAAGTGAGCAAATGGCTGTTCTTAGCCACATCCACAAATTGTCCCGCCCCATTCCATCCAGCTGGGAGTCCCCCTGACCCAGAGTAGTGCTCATGCTCAGCCTCACTCAGAGTATAGTATGCTTGCTCCCTTGTGTTCTAAGTTCCTATTCCTCTATTAGGGTGTCTAGTTTATAAACTGTCTCATGCAGAGGTACGCCACTGCAGTGTGGCAGTCACTGGGTATGACTCAAGTGTTTGATGTCATGAGGACAGTTTTAGTGGCAAATCCCTGTCCCTATGGCCTGAGTCTCCCAGCACTATTGGAAGAGCGACCCATGACCCACACCTGTAGGGCATGGCAATATGGAGTCCCTTTTAGCAGAGAAAAAAACGTTACTGTGGCTGATGACCCCTCACATGCATATGAAAGATGAGAGGGCCGGTGGTCTGGGTGCCTGGGGCAGCTGGGCACCCCATGGCACAAAGGCAGAATGTGATCAGAAATAAGGAAGAAACCTCAGAAATAAGGCTGAGGTCTTTGTCACCCGCCCCCCAAACCAGATTGATCTGGATTCCTGCCCACAGCTTTGCTTATCAGATGCTGGCTGAGGAACTGGATCACTTCACTCTTATTAGGGACACAGCCGCACTTGTAGTTACCCCTGGCTAGCTTTCTATTTCTCCCTTCTGCTGGCCTCTAAGGGTCTAAGGACAGTTTGACTTCTGGACACAGGGGCTCGTGTTCACCAAGCTCTGCTCTCCCCAGACTGGGACCTAACACTTAACAGATGGGTGTTGCATTGATGGTGGAGTTGGGTGATTTTCTTGGTGCTGAGAGGGTGTTTACCAATGGTCCTCACTCTCCAGGGAATGGTCCCAAGTCTTGCAGGTGTGTAGAGTTACCATGTGACTAGATTCCCAGTGCATTACCAGCAGGTAGCAATGACCTTTACTCTACTGTGTTTCTCTTAGGCTTACTTAGAACAGATGTCCCCCCAGCTTTGAAGAGACACCCCCACCCTGTCCCTCAGCTCTGCACCCTACATCCTGACTTAGCTGAAAGACAGGTTAATTCTCAAAGAGTATGAGGAATCCAGGGCCTTGCAGTAAAACACCTCCTGTGTTACGACGTTCTCTTAGCTCTGTCTTACGTCTTTGCAGGCTGAACTTCCGTTTTGCACAGGAGACATTATTACTGTTTTTGGTGAAATCGATGAAGATGGATTTTATTATGTAAGTTTTTGGAACATCAAGAAATGCTGTTTTGCCCTGGTGGGAACATCAAGAAACCCCTGGTTTGCGCTTACATTAACACATAAGCTGTGATCCGTCGATGTCATGTTCTGAAGCATTTGTCCGGCTTGCTGCCTCCCTGGGCCGAGTTCTCTTTTGTATATAATATAGAAATCTGGGGGGCCAAAGCGACAAATGGCTGCGATCCTGGGACTTGGGGAGCTGAGGCAGGAGGATTGTAAGTTCAAGGCAAGGCTGGGCTATAGAGCTAGATCCTGTTTCAAAAACAGAGAAGAGGCGGAGGGGAGGAGGGAGGGGGAGGAATAAGGGGAAAAAGAAGACAAGGAGGGGGGAGGAAGGGAAGGGAGCTAGCGCTGTGGTCTCTCGTTGCTTTCTACTAATTATAGTATTTTCTGTGTCTACAAACCATAGACAAAGCAAACACAAAATTGCCACCGTCCAAACATTTACGGAACAATTTGATTTTCTAGGTTATTTACGGCCTGGGTGGTGGGGTTTTCTTTCATGGCGAAGAGGACGGATAAACACAACAAACAGGCGGGCCAGCCCCAGCTTCACCCACCTCCCCACACCTCCCGTCACCCCTAGCCAAACCCTCAGGTAGACCAGCCCTGGCTTCACAGCACCCCCTTCACACACAGCCAGACACCTGCTCATTGTCTGTGTCAGCCCAGGCACCTCCCTCCTGTTCTGTCACTATCTGGTGGATAAGAGAGGCCACACACAGGGTGGGGTTAACTTCCTGCTTCTGTAACTGGATGTCCTCTGAATGCTCCCCCCCCCTCCGCCGTGGCCACCCTCTGTGGCCTCCCTCTGTGGTTGCTCCCTGTCGCATCTATGGCCTCCTGAACATACTTGGGAATCCTACTTCTCCATGCAGTGGTGCATGATCCCAGAGATCCCCCCTCGGCAGCCTCAGGCAGGCAGGGTTTTAGGGCTCTGTTCCTCCCAGCTGCTAAGATTTCACGGCGGGTTTTGGTGGGATAGGCACACTGCCATGTAGCTTTGGGTGGGCTTTCCACGCTCCCCTGTGGCTTTTGGTGGGATAGACACACCTCCGTGCACAGAGTGACAATGTCTTTCCGTAGGTCACGGGTCTACTCGTTAGCTCTTTGTTTGGAGAGCGGTTTTGTCCTATGAATTTGTATGAGGTCACAGCCTGGTTGTCCTCATGGAGGGTGTGCCAAAGGCTCATCTCAGTTACTCACTTCTTCAGTTCTGTGCTAATTTCTCACATGCTAACTCGGGACTAGGTTTCCTTTTTTTCTGAGTTAGAGCATTATAAAGATCGTTTCTAAGGGACCCGTCTGTGGCAGGAGAGCTGCCTCAGAGGTTGAAGAACTTGCTTCTCTGCAGAGGGCCCAAGTTTGGTTCCAAGCACGCTTGCCTGGTGGCTCACAACTGCCTATAACCCCATCTCCTTCTTCTACCCCCGTCCATTGGTATTGCAGACATGTTGCATATACTCACACAAACACACACATGTGCACACAAATGGAAATAGAAGTGAATCTTTTTCTTTTTTTAAGAAAGCTGCCCTTTTAAAAATCTCATCCATATCATATATGCTAAATTCCACTTGTATGGAGGGTTCTTGGCTCTGTCTTTTTTTTTGGTTTTTCGAGAGAGTTTCTCTGTGTAGCTTTGGTGCCTTCCCTGGAACTCGCTCTGTAGACCAGGCTGGCCTCGAACTCACAGAGATCCGCCTGGCTCTGCCTCACAAGTGCTGGGATTAAAGGCATGCGTCACCACAGCCTGGCTGGCTCTGCCTTTTTGATCTCTGTATTTTTATAACATATAATATATTCAGGGGAATAATATTGTAGTTAGCCTTGCCCTAGAGCAAACTCTTATTCCCCTGTCTAGAGAAAGTCTATGTCACATTTAGGTTAGGCTCGGGGGAAACTGTCATGTCTGTCTGACAGTGAATACACTTCCTGTCATCTAGCAAAAGATTCAGAAATGTTCACTCCTTTTATTTTTAATGCATCTTTAAATCATTCTTAAGAATGTATGCGTCTTATCGCTAGTCTCTACCCTTGAGCCACAGCACCAAAAATGCGTTTACTTTTTCATTTTGAGACACGGTCTCTCTGGGCTGTTCAGGCTGGCCTCCGGAGTGGCTGGGTCACCGGCCTGCACCTCCAGGCTGCAGTGACTGTGGCTGTACAGACTCCCCCTTGGGGACGTGCGTATTTCCCGTGGACTACGGTCATGAGTGCCTGTCTGTTGTCGTCAGCTGATTCTCTCGAGTGCTCCAGATGATGACAGTTTAGTCTCTGATGGTTGTAGCTGTCCACTTGCTATCTTACTGTCCTAACAGTGCTGAATAACATGTCTGGGGCAGCTGGCCTGTGACTCGCTACAGCTTCAGTAGCCGACATGTCTACACAGTCAACATCCATCTTCCTGACAGAGAGTCCTGATTTAGTTTACTAAATTCTTTTTATCATTAACCCGTTGACTATGGAATATATATGCACATATATGGATATATGTGTAAGCATATGTATACATGCATATATGCTGAATGGGCTGGTTTTCCTGATTTCTTTCTTAGTACACTCCTCATTACTGTATGGGAAAGCTACTCATTTTTGTATTTTATTTTGCATTCTGCCACTCTTCTGGTGGTGCTTATCAACTGTAGGGAGTTTGCTGTTGGAGTCCTGGGGTCTCTCACATCTGCAAACAGAGACACTTGGACATCTTCCTCTCGAATATCCTTGTTTCTCTTGCTATGACTTTTAACACCATATGCAGTGGAGAAATGGACACCCTTGCCTTGTTCCTGGTTTTAGTGACAACCCTTCGAAGTTTTTCTCATTTAATATAATGCTGACTGTAGGTTTGCTATGTACAGTTTTTATCATTATGTTGAGACATTTGTCTTTTATTCTGAGTGTCTTCAAGGATGTAGGAGGTCATACTTTGCCAAAAGCTTTTTCTGCATCTACTGAGATGACCATGTGGTTTCTCTCCTTGACAGCACCTACTTAATGTAACTTACAATGTTTATTGATTTACATATTGAACAGTCCCTGCATCTCTGGAGCAAACCCAACTTGGTCATGGTCAGTGATCTTTTTTATTAACTGATTAACTATGGAATATATATATGCATGTATGTATATATGTGTGTATATATACATGCATACATATACTAAATGGTCTTGTTTTTCTGATTTCTTTCTTCATCTACTCATTAGCATAGGAGAAGACTCTTGGATTTGGTTTGCAAATTTTATTGAGAATTTTCGCATTTGTATTCATCAGAGAAATTGGTCTGTAATTTTTCTTTACATTGCATATTTGTTCTGCTTTTGGTATCTGTCATACTAGATTCATTAAAAGGCCTTGTAATGTTCTTTTTCTATTTTATGCAATAGTCTGAGGAACATTGGCCTTGCTCTTCTTTGACAGTCTGGTAACATTCACCAGTGAATCCACCTGGGCCTGGACTCTTTTTATGTTGGGAGATTTTAATCACTGCTTCAGTCTCGCTGACTATTACAGATCTAACTAAACTGTTAATCTCATCTTGGTTTATTTCGGTGGGTCATGATGTATCTAGAAAATTACCCATTTCTTTTTTATTTTCCAGCTTATTGGGACATATGGTTTTTAAGGTAATACTCAATGGTTTCCTGAAGCTCACTGGTGTCTGTTGTAATGGCTCCCTTTTCATCTCTGATTTGGGTCTTTCCTTGCTTTCTATTGGCTAAGAGTTTGTGAATCTTCCTTCTCTCTTCAAAGAACCAACCCTCTGGCCATTGATTCTTTGTATCTTTTTCTGTTTCATTAATTGCTGCTCTGATCTAATTATTTCATTTGCTGATTTGGCATACTCCTTTTCTGGAGTTTTCAGGTGCTTTAAGATATTTACTCAAAATTTGATTTCTTGACGTAGGCATAAATGTAGCTCTAAACCACCATGCTAGGCTTGGCTCTATTGTATCCCAGAGGAGCTGGTATGTTATGTTTTCATTTTCGTTTGATTCTAGGGATGTTTTTATTTCCATTTTGATTCTTCATTCATCATTCAATTGTGTGTTGTTTAATCCTCGTGAGTTTGTATATGCTCTTAGAGTTTATCTTCCTGTTGATCTGTATCGTCTTATTCCATTGTGATCAGAGAGGATACAAGGAATTATTTCAGTTTTCTTGTATGTGTTGAGACTTGCATTGTGTAATATATGGTCTGTTTGAAAGAAAGTTCCATGGGCTTCTAAGAACAATGTGCCTTCTACAGTGGTTGGATGGAATGTTCTATAGGTGTCAATCAAGTCCATTTGATCTACGATGCCATTTAAATCAGATAGTTTTCTGTCGGAATGACCTGTCGTCACCCACTGTTATTGTGCTGGGGTTATTCTGTGACATCTTAACAGCACGTGTTTCTGAAACTGAACTCCTGTGTTCGGGTATGTGTGGATGGTGATTGCTCTTGAGGAATTGCTCCTTGACTATGAAGTCACCATCACTATCTCACTGGTTTGACTTCACATCTACTTTGTTGGATGTGGGAGCAGCTGTTTGCTTGGACCACCCTTTCCTAAGGCAGTGTTGGCCTTTTGTGGTGAGGTTCTTTTGTGTGTGTGTGTGTGTGTGTGTGTGGCAACAAACGGATGCTTCATTTGTGTTGTTGTTTTAATCCAACCTACTAGTCTGCGTCTTTTGACTGAACTCTAATGGTCTCAATTCCCCAGAGGTATTATTGAAAGTTATGTATTTGTTTACGCCATTTTGTTGATTTTCGTAATGCTTGGCTTTTCTTTCCTTAGTATTATTGCAGTATGGTTTGTTCTTCCTTGAAGTCTTGTGCTGGACTTGTTTTTACCTTCAGTCAGAAGGACTCCTTCAAATATTAACTGTAGGGTTGGCTTAGTGGTCCCAAATTCCTTCAGTTTCTTTTGGGAAAAGTTTCAGCTCTCTAATTCTGACAGATCCCCCTGCTGTGGATAGGAGTCCTGGTTGGCCAGAGTTGTCTTTCAGAGCCTCAAATGCATTTTCTAGATCATCCTGATTTGAAAGCATCAGTTGCCAAGTCTGCTGTTACTCAGATGGGCCTGCTATAATTTGTGACGTGGTGTTTCCCATTTTTGTTCTGTATATTTAGTGTTTTGATTAAACCATGATGAGGGGAGGTTCTTCTCCGGTCTATGTGGCCTGGATGGGTCTCTCTCCCTAACTCTGGAGAAATGTTAGTCTTGAATATGTTTTCTGTGCCATTAGAACCAGATTCTCTTCTGCCTATGCCTATAATTCAAGGGTTTGGTCTCTTTAGAGTGCCATTTATGTCTGAGAATTCCCACTTAGAATAGATGGCGCAGCCCAGCCTTTTATGATTGTCCTTGCTGGATCATTCCGTTTCTTCCACCTTGTCTTCAGGCTCAGATATCTCTTCTCTCCTTGATCTGTTCTGTCCTTGAGACTTTCCATAGAGTTGTTCTTGGTTTTTCTACATTTTTTTTTTCATTTCTGGTACTTCAGACTAGGTTTTTTTCACTTCTCTTTCTTGACTCCCCTTTCACACTGTCCATCGTCCTCATTTCCTCTGACTGTCGGGGTTTTGAACTTCCTTATGATTGTTGTATTGAGTTCTGTATCTGGGATTTCATTTAACTCACCTTCGCTGGATGCCATTGCTGCAGGGTTAGTAATCTTTGGAGGGGTTCTGCCTCTTCGGTTTTCATGTTTCTTATGTCAGTCACCGTGATGGGATTTATGCACCTTATTTTTGCTGCTTGGTTCTTTATAATTTGCCATTTTCTTTCACTTGTTGCATTTCTAACACGCAAGATTGGTACAGTGGATTGTGTAGTTCCTAAACTAAACTACTAAACTCCTAAACTACTCCTCAGCTCAGGAGCTTTGAGTGCTTGGGGAAGCTCTGCATTATCCCCCGGGTGGCATGCTAACTGGAGGAACCATCACGGCTGCTGGATGTTGCTACCACCCAGCTGTCACTCTCCAGTTAACAGGGGCCCTTGAGATGTCAACTGTTGGAAGACAACCAAGGACAGTACTGAGTACTCATGGCTTTATTTAATGAGATTGGGAGTGGGAGGGCCGTGTGGTGGGAAAGAAAATGATTAAGTATTAGGCTGAATTTGAAAAAAAAAATAAATGAGATGGGAAAAGCGGCAAGAGGGAGAAGCTGGCATACTGTTAGGATTCACCGATTTTAGAGAGGGTTAAATCTAAGACGTATAAAGGGGAGAAGAAAAGAAAGATGTAGAAAGAGGAGCATACGAGGTATGGCTGAGGGATACAGTGAAACTAGTAAACTTGGGTGGGGGGAAATGTAGAACAAACCTCTTCAAATATGAGCAGGATACAAACAAAAGCAAAGCCATGTATCTGTACATGTACATGGTTAGCAATTATGTAATAGAAAATAACAGAACATTTACAGTTTGACTTTCTGTTATGCTGAGTTGAAAGGTGAACTTCTCAAATTCCTCTGGCTCTAGAAGGCTTCCGTGGCTGTGTGCGGGAGGGACCAGTGGAAGCCATTGATCTCTGCAGACTCAGTGTTCCGGTTGAGGAAGGGGAGGGTCTAAGTCCTCTCGTTGGTAGTTCTCTTGGACCCTGGGGCCCACCGAGGCCTCTGCTGTCTCTGCAGATGGGGTGTATTCAAGGAGCAGCGTTCCCCTTGCAAGTTAGTACTGCTCTCTCCAGGGCAGCTTGATTGGCAGGCAGGCTGGTGTAAAAAGGGCTTCCAGCTGAGCTCTGCTTCCCCAGCAGGGATCTCCCTGGCTTAACAAGCTCTTCCACAGACCTGTCTCTTCCAAGAGAGCACACTGAGCACTAGCTCTTTTCTATTGTCGGGTTTTGGTGCTAAGACTTCCAGCCTTGCAGCTTACCCAGAAATCCTTGAAGGATAATTTTTACAGGTTCAATTTGCCACGCCACGGATGTGTCAGAATGGGGTTTTCCTCTTAAGTCTGACTCTGCCGTGGCACGAGCATGTCTCTTGTTGATCCACTCATCCAGCGGTGAGCATGTTAGTTGCATTTGGCTTTTGACTGTTGCGGGCCTTGTAGGCATTAAACGTTTGTGCGTGTGGCTCTGGGAGACCTGGCTCTCCAGTTTCTGAGGTGAGCACCCTAAGGTGGAGCTGTGGATCACACCATCGCTTTGTGGTTCCTGGAGGACCCACTGCACCGTGCAGCTGCACCTCTGCATTCCCACCAATGTGTCACGAGGGTCCAGTCTCTCCACATCTTCACCATTATTTGTTTTCTGGTTTGGGGAGCTCCCGGGAAGTTCTTTACCATATTCAGCCTGATGGTGTAAGATTCACGCATGTATTTATTTTTTGCTTTTTTTATTGGGGGGGGGCGGTAGGTAGGGGCCATGTGGAGGTCAGGAACAACATGATGGAGTTGGTTCTCGCCTTCCACCCAGTGGGTCCAGGGACTGAACTTTGGTTGTCAGGGTAATGACAGGCATCTTACCTGCTGATCCACCCTGCAGTGAAATCTGTGTTTGCCCTGTGACTAGTGGTGGTGGGATCTTCTCAGTTTTTATTTTATTTTGCCATTTGAAGAAATGCCCATTTTAAATGTCTTTTGTTTGGTGGCTGTTCTTTACACATTCTGGTTAATAACCTTCAGCAGAAAGACCATTTCTAACTACATATCCCTTCCTTGGGTTCATCCCTATGCTTTCATTGTACACCGTAATGCCTCCAAGTTCTTTGTTCGATGGGGTAGGCTGACCGGTGTCCTAGACCACCACTGAAGGACCAGGCAGGTTTTTGTTTTGGAGCCAGGACTCTGCTGTTCTGCCCAGGTTGTCTCAAGCAGTCCTCTGGCTGCAGCTTCCCCAGTGGCTGGGATTACAGGCAGGAGGCGCCATTTCAGCCCAGTTTGAACTTGGTTTGAGTACTTGCAGGCAGGTTAGTGTTGGAAGCCCTGGGGATGGAGGGGTGTGACTGCTGGGGGACTGCACTCATGGAACTCCACCTTAACCTGGTGTGCGAGCGGGTGTGTGAACCCAGCTGTAAGGGTTTCTACCACCCTGAAGCAGGGGGTTTGCAGGAGTGAACGCTCATCTCCGCCTTGTTGGTTCAACTTTTACAGTCATGACAAGTTCATAGATAAGAAGGGAAACCACAGGGTTGGTGACATGAGCACCTCTGACCTTCTTTGCCCTTTTTGGATCCTTGGCTCCCAAATTCTACAAAGAGTGGCATTGGCTGGGGACACCGCTGTCGCTCTCTTAACACCCTTAGCCATTCTGATTTGGATATAGGACCTTGCCAAGTCACCAAGGCTAGCCTTGAACTTCCCAGACTGGCTCAGTTGAATGCAGACACCAGGCAAGCGCTTCACCACTGAGCCACACTCCCGCCCTAGAGGGCATTGGGCTTAAGAACCAAGGAGCGGCTCCAAGTAGAGTTGAATCTTTAGGATCTACTCCATAATCCTAAAACAAGAGCTGCACTTGACAGGCCAGAACAAGACTGGAAGTTGAAGACTGAAGTTCCCACTTCCCAGGGGGCTGAGTGGGAGGGTTGTGAGTTCAAAGTTGGCCTGGGCAACTTAGTGAGAAGAGGGCTGGGGATGTGACTCAGAAGAGTGCTTGCCTGGCAATGTGCATGGCTGAGCTTATTCTTGTGATCCAGACCCTTTGGGGAGTGCTTACCCAGCATTCCTTCAAGCCCTGCCACTTCTAGCCAGAATCGACGGGTCACATCTGTTCTCCTAGGCAGGGTGTCATTGTGGGGGTAATAGGCTCTGGAAAAAGGAGAGGTTCCCTTGACCCTTCCCCTGCCCTTTGTTTACAGGGAGAGCTGAATGGGCAGAAGGGCCTGGTGCCTTCCAACTTCCTGGAAGAAGTGCCTGATGATGTGGAGGTCCACCTTTCTGATGCTCCACCCCACTACTCCCAGGAGCCACCCATGCGCTCCAAGGCCAAAAGGGTAAGCCAGCCCCCTTAGCCTGCCTGCCTGCCTCCCTCTCCCCCTCTCTGTGGTCTGGCGCAATCTTGCATTGCTGCTTTCATGACTTGGGCCCCACCAGCATCTGCCCTGATTTTTTTTTTTCTTCCTCTGTCCTTCTTTGGGCATTGTGCCCGCAAATGCTTAGCTCCAACTTTAAGTTGGTGTCCCACAGAAGGACCCTTTGTTTTCGGTCAATCTGCCCGACTCCCAGGCCTTCCCTGGCCTCCACAATAGGTGCACAGTTCAGCTGACAAGAGAGTGAGGTTCGGGGACCCGGATGCCACTGGCGCCCCCTTTAGAGTTCTAGATGGCAGGGCTTCTGTAGCTTAGCACGCCTGCCTGAGACTGCATTCTCTTGAGTGTCTCATCTTCACGTTTCGCCATCACTGCGAGTTCTTATCTGTTGTATTTTACGTATATGTTTTTATCTCTTCGCTCATCTGCTTGGACATAGAAGAAGAGTGTTCATTTCACACCCTAATCAGGCATGTAGCCTTCACGTAAGTGAGCAACCGAAGACACCTTAGAGAGATACCGACTTAAGCTACCCTAAGCGGACAGCGCGGTAGTCTTAAGACTTCAATGTGGGCTTAAAGAAAGAGAGAGAGAAAAGAAATATGTCTCAAAAAAACCCATTGGACCTAAAGTATTATAGGCTGTCTCACCTGTTCTCAGTTGCCCGGCAACTGGATGCATAGTGAAACGAATCATCTCGAACAATCATTTTTAAATATGTCCATTGAGAATACGGGAAAGGCCAACCTTGGGAACATATTTCTTAAAGCTGTTTGTTTACACAGAGTGCGCCAGCGTGTACTCACAGGGGACGCTGCCTGTTGCATTGTTAGCCACCCTCAGTAAAAGCACAACATGATCCACGTGTTTACTGTAAGCACGTTTGAATCATACCAATAGCCAAGACTTTCAAACTTTTCATCCCAGATCAAGCCCTGAGGGGTGGCCTTGGCTCTGGGCATGCCAAAGCTGGCCGGAACACCCAGCTGCAGCACCTTGGCCTTAGGAGCAGGTGTTCCCTCTCCTCAAAGCACAATTGTCCCGAGCTCATGGAGGTGAGAGAGAGGTGTGGGCATACCAATGCAACACTGTCTCCCGACTCGGCAGCTCCCGCGATTGCACTAGCTGGCCCCCCCCCCCCCCGTGGTATCTTCAGGTGTGCTTTGGGGTGCGCCCTAGGTGTTCTCCATTAGAGGTAGACCTTGATTTTAAATCCAAGCAAGCTTGGGGCCCCCTTGCCTTGTAACGGTATGCCCGCCGCGGGCCTGGCTCTCAACTTGCCAGGTTTTGCTCTGGGGAGTTTCGAGAGCCCGAGGCCTGGCGATCACTGGCCGTGCTCCGGTGTGCCTAGCCGCGGAATGAGGTAAAATTGGCACTCTCTGTCCCTGCATCAAATTCTACCCCTTCAGAGCACTGATGGTTGGCTTTTTTTTTTCCCACCTGAAAGTCTCTCAAAACCTACCATGTGCTGGGGAAAAAAACATACACTCCTCTATTTGGAAATGGTAAGAGTGTCCAAGAAGGGCCTTTGAGCTTCCTTAGATTGCAATTAAGGTTCATTCCAGTTTTTTTTTTCTTTCAAACAGTGTGCCATCCCCAAAGTTTCTGTAGGATTCTAACTGACCCAAGGGCTCACTCCACCATGGCAGGGTCTTAGCTACCCACCTAGTTCACGATCCATCCAAATTCCCATTGAGACCTTTTGCTTTACAATGATTGATGGGTACGCGGCCACCTTGCCTACCCATCTGATTGACAATACCTTCCCCTGCTTCTAGTCTGAATTTTCAGAGTAAATTATGGCCTGGCTCTCTTTGCCAAAGCGATGGCCACCCCGTCTCCCAAGACAAAGACCGCGAAAGCCCATCGAGGCCAGCCTCTCTCTCAGAGGGGCCTTGGGAGCGGGCGTGTGCTTCTCATGGCATACTTTAAAAATTGAAAGAAGAAACCACCCACCCACCCTTTCCCCTGGCTGGCGGGAGATGGGGCAGTACGCGTTACCGAGTGAATTGTTGTTGGTGCTGACGCACTCAAACTGTCGCAATGTACCTACTAGGTTCCTCCCGAGGGTTCAGGGACAGCAAGGAGAGCTCCATCCCCCACAGCCCATCTCCATTCGGGGTCACCTACGTCATCTATGGGTTCTGGTAGTCCTGGGAGAGGCAGGGAAATGTCCTCGAAAAAGAAAAAAGGGCTGCTCTCCAGAGGCAAGAAACTGCTGAAAAGGCTGGGTGCGGTGAAGTGACCTGGGAGCCTTCGGACAGTTCCAAATCCATGTCACTTGCTTTAATTCCAAACTAGGGCTTTCATGACTCCCAAAACCCAACCTTGACCCTCGTCCCGCTCAGCAGTAGAGAGATGCGCTCTTACACTACCATCCACATAATACTATTGGAGAGATCAGGGAGGGCTGCTTTGTGGTCCCCTCCTCCTCCACTCCCAAAGTTCTATCCAAAGCCTGGGGTGGGAGGTGGGAGGGGCAGCTGGCTGAGCAGCAGGGAGGGAGGGCTCTCTGCAGCGCCCCCTACCTGCAGTTCCAGCCTGCACACACTTGACATCAGCCCTTACAGGATTTCTGACCTTCCCCCCCCCCCCCCACTTCTCAAGATGCTTGCCTCATCATGCATTACTGTCATTTCCACTCTGGTCTTGAAATTCCTAGTTTAATTCGCCTTGATGTTTTGCCTTATAACTGCACAGTGGTTTGTACTGTCGAATAAAAACACCGTGTATACTTCTCATGTGTTGTGCATTCCTGGGCTTCATCCTCCCTGACACAGTGGCTTCACATCACAGTGGCCCAGGCCCTACATTTTCTGATGCCTGCCTTGGTCTTTCAAAGCCAGCCAGCAAACATACAGGAGATGTTTACTTATCCACCCCCACACACACACAAGAGCAAAGGAGAGGGAGAGACCGGCAGCATGCACGTCCCTCTGGCCAGCCAGGGAGCTGCTAAACGACCTTTGCGTTCAGTGTCCCATCCCGTGGCTTTTAGATTTCTGTTACTTTCAGTATTTATTCAAACGCCTTGCCCCGATACACCACCAACAGCACACCCAGCAAAGCCACCGTATGTTTCATTAGCCAGATCAGAAGGAGCCTACACTGAAATCTCGCAGCCCCGGCCCCACACTCATCTTTAACATTAGCCTTGAACAGCAGACCTCCCGACAGACATGCTGGCAGAGGTGTGTGTCGGTCACTACTTTGTAATTCCTGTCCACTGTAAACTGTTTCTACTCTTTATACACACTTTTCAGACTGCCTTTCTTTTGTAATTTCTGGAAGGTTTATAAATGAACGACAACGCTTCCCCCATTGTGTCTTCAAAAACTATATTGTAAATTGTAAAATAATTGTATGTGGTAGACTGATTAAAAGGCTGTTCCTCAGTGTGTGAAGTGCTGTGTGGATGTGTGCATGTGTACAGTTAGGGTGACTTATTTTCTAGAAATAAACTTTGTTATTTTGTACAATGTCATGTAGTCTGCATCTTTCTTTTAAATTCTCTTATCCTGGCAGGGGGACCGAATTCCTTTCTGCTACAGGGCCATAAAGAACTCAATGGGTTTGGGTTTCCTGGGACTAATTAAAAATATGACCTTGAACCATGTTCTGGGAGTCGTTTCTATGACACTCCTGGGGTGATATTCATGGGAACATAGACGGCAGCAATTAGTCTATGTGCTGCTAGAGACATGCAGAGACCACAAGAATCCATTGAACTTTGGATTCCAGCCAAACCTCTTAGCAGCATCCCCCCCCCCCCACCTTTCTAGGAATGTTAATAAAGCAGCTCTGACTCAACACTGTGAAATGCAGCCTGACTCACCAGCTAGCTCTGCAGAGGTTGGACACATTTTTCCTGGGATGCCGAGAGATGGAAAGGTGGGTAGAGAAAGGCCGCTCTCCTCAGTGTGGCCAGAAAGCACAGGGAACCAGGGGACAGACACTCCCCCACAAAGCCATGTTCCCTCGGACTCACTTTCCCCAGCGAGGCACCAGCTCCTAAGAGCCTGTTCAGCTATGGACTTCATCAATAGATTAACTGATGAAGTTAATCTATTAACCCCCCCCCCCGTGTGCGCCCCCCCCCATATCCAGTCACTTCCCAAGAGCCCCTCAGATGGCAGCCAAGCCTTGAGCACATGAGACAGGTTCAGGTTTGATCCTTAATGACAGGAATTAAGAGTAGGAGAGAAACTCAGGCTATTTATGGTAAGGTGAAAATAACAGTTCAAATCTATCACTTCAGATCTGACCGCACAATTACGTAATTACAGCCACTGCCGCCATGTTATTCATGTAGAATTACACCTTTACACTCTGCATTGAAACAGACTTGTCAAAAGCAGGGACAACCAGCCAAGATCACTAGGATCAGTGCTCTCCGCCCTGGTGACTTTTCCTGCTGCTCTAAAGGGGTTTCCTCTGGCCATAGCAGGGGGTGCATCTGCCGGGAGGCAGCTGGCCACACCACACTACACCCAGTTGGGCTGCAGAGAGACAATGCTCTTCCTCATCCTCAGCCCACGAGATGGTTCTGCCCAGCTTAGTGGTGGTGGAGGTGTGTGGCTTTTTCTTCTCAGTTATACAACTTCTAACACCATCACCAGACGTCCAGACGTGTTTCCATGGAGAATCTGAATCCCTTCAGGTCCACAAGGAGGAGGAACCATCATACTTATTCAACCATTTGATAACACAATCCCCGGCCCCCATAAACAGAGACAGCTCAAAGGTGATAATGAACTAGAATGAACTTTCTCCCCCAACCTCTCACTTGAAAGTGACTATACGTTTCTCGTGATCAAGGCTCCTCCCTGCCAAGAAGGAAGGGGCTTCTACCACAACCTCACTGGGCTGAAAGTCTAAAGCCAGTATCCTTTTGGGAGACGCCATAGACAGAAATGCCTTTTCTACAGCTTTCAGCTTCATCAAAAATGATCAATGAGTTCATAAAACCCAGACAACAGACACAATCCCACATCACGAGTTGAAGGAACACAAATTAGTACAGCAGCTTGAGCTTAGAGTCACTCAGACAGGGACAGAGGCCCCTGCATGGCCAAGCTGCTGACTGGACCTAATCTGTTTCTGACAAGTGTGCATGCCCTCTAAATGAATTGTATTTCCTGGACTCCAACTTAGGAAAGAGATGTGATCAAGAATGGATACATAGGACACTTCCCATGACATGGTCAGAGTGTTCACTTTCTCAGAGTCCTGGGAGAAGTGGTGGTCCTATCCTGAGGGGCAGGGCCCATTGGAGGCCACAATCCATGCCAGCTCTGGGGGGACATCATCTCTGCCCTTCCTCCTGTCTCTTCCCTCAGCCCTCCTTGGCCATTCACAGTAGCTGATGTCCGATTCCAGCCTGGCTACTCACCAACACACCACAGTTGACTCATCAGACTACCTAGGAAATATGCAAATGAAGGGTGGTGGCACAGCCCTCCCTTGCTCAGACACCTCCTCCTGTGTCCCTCAGAGGCTCAGTAGCCACAATGACGCCGTTCATTTTTCTACCTTGCAAAGTAGGACTTCACCTAGACACAAAGGGATGGTTTATATATTCCTACTAGTATTTCCTAACCCCTGAGTTCCTCACTGGCTGAGTTCTTTGTAGAGGTGAAATCCCCTGTGTATCTGCTATCACCCTCTCCCTGTGTTCTGTGTCCCATTGGTTGTGGATGCAAAGCCTTATCTTATACCCTGGGGCTTGAGAGTCCCCCCTTTTCAGATAGTGTGCTCTGCCTGTGACTTGTCAACCCTAGGATGAACTCAGAGGCCCAAACAAGCAGGCAGCAGCTGCCTGCTAGGAAAGGCAGGAGTCCAGTGCCTCCTGCTTGTCTCTGATGCTCTGATGAGTTCTGAGTGTATCTGATCCTGGAAGTGGACCGTAATAATTTGTTTCTTGCAGTATGGAGAGGACCAAGAAGGGCAGAGTCCCAGGGTGTTCCTGCCTTTGTGTTCAGGTCTGGGCCTCCCAGGGAGTCCTGCCACTGATTGCCGAATTCATGTTGGATCTGGGTAACAAGTTCCATCTGCCTCAAGAGCCTGGCAGGCTCTGGTGACACTCTGCTCCCCTTGGTGACAGTTCCCTCAGAGAGAAGGTACTAGTCCTGGCCACAGATGCAGCAGCCACTCCACCTCTGGCCAGAGCTGTTTTTATCAGCGTTGGACTCTGTCATACCCACCGCTTCAAGGTACAGCCTGGAGCCAGGGGAGATATGGGTTGTCTGAGGGAATGACCACCATAAGGAGAGCTAGGCTGGGCCCGTGGGGACATATTTCCCCTCTGTACCTGTCCCTGCAGGGCACAAGAGCAAACAGGGAAAGGAGGGTGTTTGGGGTCATCTGTACACACCAGGTAAGATGACTCCAGTCAGCCCACAGAAGACAAAGCTCAGAGAGATCAGGCCTCTCCAGGGACAAGCCAATCCAGACCGTCCAACCCCAAGTGATCAGCCCTAAACACATGCGGTCATAAAGAACCCTTTCCTACCAGAGGGCTAGGCAGCACTAATAGTTCAAGCTAGATGCCACTCTACCAGGGCGTACTATCTGGCCACGGGAGACTGGTGTGAAGCGAAGGCAGAATCACGGGTCAGTGGAACCGACCCGCTGGGGGGAAGGGGGTGCTGACGGGAACAGTGTGAAGCTGCATCCCTGTGTGCTTGTTTCTGTGGGTTGGCTGGGATGTGTCGACAGAACCTTGCGTGAGATTCCTGACCCCCAGGATGTGCGTGGTTTGAGGGCTGCTCCATCTAGTACAGAGATGGCAGATGGTTGACAGGGGCTGGGATGCCATCACCAGGCTGGGGAGAGCTTCAGGTGATGCAGCTGCCTTTGAGTCACCCATGTACCTCTAAGTAACCCCAATAAACACTGGCTCACCCAAGTCGACCCTGACGGAATGGCTCCTTTTGGGAATGAACAGGTGTTGCCTGTTCATTTGAGAATGAACAGTGTGTTGGCCCAAGACAAGACATGCAGCAATCCCTACTTAAGACCATACAAAAAGTCAAGGACTTGTTTTTTGTTTGGGGGACAGGTCTGGGCTATAGCCTGGGCTAGCCTCAAACTCATGGCAATCTTCATAGCCTCAGCTTCCCCAAGGCTGGCATTTCAGATATAAGACTCATCTCTGGTTAAAAGTAAAAACTAACAAAAACTGACTATAGAGAAAACAATGGAACCCCAGAAATGGGAATTTGTCTAGGGAGGCTCACAGTAGGAGAAGGAAAAAGACTCGGGTGCCAGCCAGTGGGGAGCTTGTGTCCCGAAAAGATATTTCATGAAGTTCTGACCACCTTGCAGGAAGAATGAAGCCCAGGCAATGGAGGGGGCAACACACCCTGACCACACCCGCTTAGCTCTGCCAACCTCTTGCCCTCCCCTTGGACACAAACCTTACTTCCAGATCCTGAGGATGGCTTTCGGTCACTGGCTCTCTTTCTTTTCCAGGGTGGCCACACTGAGTAATTCTCCAGTTTTGTGGTTTTCACTGTAATTTGCCGGTTTCATTGGCCTTTCGGGGATGTGACTGAGCCAGCCCAGCTTGTCAGGGCTGGTAAAGGTCTAACCTCTAACCCTGACAACTGTAGTAAGAGAGGGGCAGGGTCTTCCTTTAACATGAAGAACCACTCTGGGTGGGGGCCCTGGAGAAGGGTGACCCTTGTCTGATGGCTCTGCCACCCTACTGAGGGGGTATTCTGTTGGGGTAAGGCCGCACCTTGCACCTTGTGTGAGGGCTCCACCCACACCAAAGGCAAAGGCCAGACAGCACCTGCCCTGTTACCTCTGGACAAATCAGCTGTGCCTGTCCAAGTCCTGAATTCCTAGTGTAAGCCAGAACCCAGAGCCTGTGTCACGGCCAGTCGTCAAGGGACAACAAGCAGGTGACATTGGGTAGGGGCACCAGAGAGGGAAGAGAGCCAGGCCTCTCTGAGAACCACCAGAGCGCCCACAGCCGTGGGTACCAAGTTTCTGGAAACGGCAATCAGAGGTATGCTGTAGCTCTCAGGACACTGGAGCCTTCCAGAATGAAGCTGTGCTGGCCCGTCAGGACCCAGATCTGAGTCGCCTGACAGCCGGGGTGTCTCCCTCTGACGTCAGGCACAGGGTGGGTTAAGGGTCACATGCCGTGAGCCCAGATGGTGGCTCAGGAGCTTTGAGAGCTCAGGGAATCGAAACGCTTTTCACTTACAGTGCATCAACAAGACCAGATCCGAGAGGCATCGCAGAGAAGCCCACAACAGTCCAGTGAGACAGAAACTTTATTGAGCCGTGCCAGAGGCACACACATCACCAATGAGTGGAACTCATCACACCGTAGCCCCACTTCAGGCTGCTCTCATGACATACAGAACTCCAAGCCTCCTCTTTGCAAAAGAGCCAGACAAATGGATGTGGTCCCACCTCATGGGGTACCCGCACTGCCCCACCAGCCACAGCCCTCCAGACCCTAGGGAC